GAACAGAGCACGCCTCCAGCCAATCAGAACACGGCCAGCCCCCCAACCAATCAGAACACAGCCAAGCCTCCAACCAATGAGAACACACCCCCACCCAATCGGAACGCAGCCAAGCCCCCACCCAGTCAAGTCACACCCCCACTGGCAGTTAGAAGGAAGAAGCAGCTGAAAGCTCACATCACTCTGAGAAGCACAGAGCCGAAGAAGCAAGCCTGAAGATGATGAATGAGACTTCATCGAAACGTTGCCTAGATACTTTGAATCTTACGCGGGAGAAAACCCGAATAACCAAAGATCCATATATATATATATATATATATATATATATATATATATGTATGTATGTATGTATGTATGTATGTATGTATGTATGTATGTATGTATGTATATGTATATGTATATGTATATGTAAATGTAAATGTAAATGTAAATGTAAATGTAAATGTAAATGTAAATGTATGTATGTATGTATAAATACCAACCACCCAAACACCTCATGGAACTAACAGAACACTATTTAACCAACGCATATTTCATAAACAAAGGACAAAGATACAAGCAAATTGAAGGAGCCCCTATGGGATCACCACTGTCACCCGTCATTGCAAACCTGTTCATGGAAGAATTCGAATCCAGAGCCCTAGCCAATGCCACCCACAAACCCAAACTATTGTTAAGATACATCGATGACACATTTGTTATTGGGAAAAGAAAACCTAACACACCTAAACAGTACACACCCCAAAATCAAATTCACCATGGAAACGGAAACAAACAAACAACTACCATTCCTAGAGGTACTAATCTACAAAAAAACAGATGGCACACTAGGACCCACCATATACCAGAAGAAAACACACACCAACCACTACCTCAACGCCCAATCCCACCACCACCCAGCACAGATAAACTCCGTGGCCAAAACACTAATTGCCAGAACCAAGCACCTGGCAGACAAGACACACATAAAGACTGAACTATGCACCCTGACTAAAGTACTGACAGCCAACGGCTTCCACAAAAGCAAAATCACTAGCTTGATCCACAAAAACATACTGAAACATAATGAAGACCCAGAAGATGAACAGACCTATGGAACAGCTGTCCTGCCCTACATAAGAGGTACTACAGACAAAATCAGTAAGATACTACACAGGCATCACATCAAGACTGCCTTCAAAACAGACAGAAAAATAGCAGCCATCCTAAGAAACCCCAAAGATAAAATTGACCTGGAAAACCAAGGCATATACGAAGTCCCCAGTGCATCATGCCTGGCCACATACATTAGACAGACCAATAGAAGAATAAGTACCCGTCTAGATGAACACAAAAATGCAGTAAAAAAGCTGGAACACACTTCTTCACTAGTCCAACACATGAAAGCCACAGGTCACAGGATCAACTTCAATGGCACCAAAACCCTAGCCACTATAGAAAACCCCAGCTACAGAATTATCAGAGAAGCCATAGAGATTGAAAAAAGACCTGAAAGCATGAATAGAAGAGATGATTCCACCAGACTGTCAATTATCTGGAAGCCTGCACTCTCAAACAAAAAAATCTCCACACCACAAGCCAGGCAAACACCTGGGCACAAACAGACTCCCCCTGATACCTCCAGCTCAAACACACCCCAACCAGGCACCCAGATGAAACCCAGCTTCCTAATAAATGATAGCTGTCCGTTTACTCGGAGCCAAGCTGCACTAAAAGCCTCAAATACAGGAAACACAATGTTGCCAGCCAGTCAAGACAAAAAAAGCTACAAAACAAGACAGAAGATATTAGCAACACCAATCAAGCAGAACACAGCAAACTCCAAGACCCATAAACACAGACCAAGACTCCCAACCAATCAGGATGAAGAAAAAACCATTCTGGCACAGCAGTAGGCTAGCACCAAATTTAAAACAGAAACGGCTGTGAAAGTCTGACTCACAGACGAACACAATACAGAAGCCTGATGATGGCAGATGAGATTCTGCCGAAACATTGCTACAACTTTAAAAGCACAACTATAATGACGTGGAAAAATACCCGAACAAAGCTGAATATCCCCCCCCCATATATGTATTCCTACTATACAAATGAACTTTATCTCATAGTATTTGTGAATAAAATCAATCTTGGCCTCCAGATGTTTTGGACAATTTCTACCATCATCAATGATGATATCCATAAAAAGCCAGAATAAAATAAAAATGATAATAAAGCTCACAATGGTACAGCACTTTAAAGATTTTTTTTTTTTGCTCAAGTGCCAGCTTCACTTGTTTGCATCCTTTCTCTGTTTTTACAGTGATTGATTGATTGATTGATTGTGTGCCATCAACTCAGTGTCAACTTTTAGCAACCACACAGACTTTCTCCAGGATGCTTTCATTTCTTGATATTATCTATCCATGCTATTTCCTTGGTAAAATATAGGAGTAATTTATACTTTTCTTTCCTTGCACAGTATGAAATGATACTTTACCATTATCATTAAAATGATTGTCTGCCTCCAGCATTTTTCTAATTTGTTGCTGTTTAGCTGATTTAGCTACTAGTTGCTTTTTCTGGGGATTTGCAATGACTTCCATGCCTAGGAGTATATAGTTTTGGCTTATTTACATTCTTAGTGTTCTTTGCTTACTCCTCCCAAGAATACTCACTTTCCCCCTCATCATAATAAATGGTGTATACTCATAATAAACTTTTCCCCACAATTGAACTCATTTTGATACTAATAGATCCTAAATAAAAGGGTTATTAAAAGACAAATTTCATTTAAGCACAAGTCTTAACAACTTCCTGGATATCTCTATATTTTATTGGCTATTTCATTTAAGCACAAGTCTTAACAACTTCCTGGACATCTCTATATTTTATTGGCTATTTTTTAAGCTTTCTTGTCTACTATATAGCTGTGGAATTTTCTATGTAATAGTAATAACATCTGTTCTTGCTTAACTTGTTTTGGTGTGTGTGTGATCAACTAGGGTTGCCTATGTATTGCCACCTTGTCAGGCAGATCCTCAATAGAAAATATATTAGTACAATCTGCATACTGGAATACACTCGTATTGTTGTCTTCAACCAATATACCTTTTATATCATAAAAAGCATTCTTCACACATTTATCTACAATACAGGATGTGGGCAGTAAGACATTGCCCATCTCTCTCTTGCACCCTGTTGAACTACTTGCCAAGATTTTTTACTTAATTTTGCAAAATTAATTAGATTTTCTGTTTACTTCCATCATCTACTGTTTTTACTGCACATAGCAACTCCATGTTTTGCAAAGAATTTTGTAATTCAGGCTATATAGCTTTCTCTAAAATAACATATCAAAATATTATTTACTTGTGTATACTTCTCAACGAGTCTCAAAAACAAAACAATTCACTTCCACTTCACCCCAGTGAAGTTTGCAGAAAGTTCAACTATATTACAGCTGATTAGGAAAAAAAGGCACTTCAGTTTTCCAGTGCTGTTGACATCATGGCAATCCAATCATCTGGTTCTATTTTCACTCTAATGCTAAACCTTATGAATAGGTCCCTGTGGTCAACAGGCCAAAGAATGCAAGAAGCACTCAAGTAAACAACTTGTGACAATAAGCTTTAAATGTTGAGAAAGGTTGTTGGTTGAATGTTAAACTATTAATAAAAATGAGTTCTTCAAATATTATTCAATATATCTGGAGCTAAATCCTTGAAAATTGATTGTGTATGATGGATAAAAATGCATGTGGAAGGAAATACACACACATACACACACACACACACACACACACACACACATATAGATTGAAAAAATGTAATACATAAAAATGTGTGACTGGTGAATGTGATAAAACAAATAGCTCTAGCATTTGAAGTCAGAGGTATACTTTATACTAAAATAATATTCAACTTATCATAGGCTAAATTTCTTCCAACATATAGTGTCTTCAGGACAATATATATCAATATTGAGACAGAACTCCTTTTTACGGATTAACATGTTATTTTAAAAAAAACCACCCAAGAATAAATTCTTGTATCATAGCCAGTAAAATGAATTCCACTATTCCGTTCCATTTAGCACTTTCTGCTTTGTGAATTGAAGTTGATAAAATACAAGTATTACCTTTGTCCAGAATTCTCTTGTATTTGCCCACAGCTGGCAGTTAACAATACCTTGGAAAATTTCCTGCTTAACCATCTGTGCCTTTGCTTGAATAATCTACAATGTATGCTGGTATTTTTGCAAGTGCAAGTCACACAGAGGGTGTATCTGAAGGAGCACTGAGACTTGAAATTCTAAATCACACAAATGCCTAGTGAGAATTCTAGCCTCCAAATCTGAACTTTGCCAGAAATGAATCAAGTCCTATATTTAAAATAAGTCTTTCAGGTCGCATTATTTTGCTCACAAGAGTACTACTTTATCCATCTCATTTGCTTCAATGGAAATGTAACAACAACACTTGACAATAGTAGGAGAGAGGGTCTTTCACTCGTAAAATGACTCATGATGAAACTGCACATAACCCTCTGTTCTTTCAAGGCTGGGAATTGGAAGACTTTTGCTCACCTCCCTCATTATCCTTGTTATCAGCACAGGAGGTTTCCATAGCAACATTGCATCCAGGCCCTCTCCAGCCGGTCTGGCAGACACACTGCCAGCTGTTCTGACCGAGTGTGCATCTCCCATTGCCATTGCACAAATCAGGGCAGCCATCTGGTTGAAGAAACGAAGAAGATAAGTTCAAGTAATACTGATTTGCACGAATATTCTATGCTGTAGGCACATTAAACAACATTACTGTACACCCAAAAAGAAAGCTAAAGACTATATCAGGTGGGTTTGTTGCTGTAAAGGACATCATTTATTTGAAATTGAATAAGGAGAGGGCAAAAGAAGGTGTGTGAAAATTATATGTAGTCTTTCTTGACAACAAGAAAGATCTACTAGACAGACTGTGATCCATTGGATCAGCAGTTCATAGATATTTACTTACTTAAACAAAAAACCAAAATAACCATAAGCAAAATAACAGTGGGAATGGGCGTGACTTCCTGCCAGCTAGAGCGATGCTCACTGCTCTCAAGTGGCTGATGGTAAAATCTGGCCTTCAAAGCCTTCAAAACCTGGCTGATGGCAAAACCTGGCCTTCAAAGCCTTCAAAGCTAGGATGGGACTGGTCTAACTGATCTCCAGAAACCAGACAGGCTGGTCTACCCAGCTTTTAGAGAGATAGGGTGACCCTGATATACTGAACCCCAGGGGATGATGTGGCAGCATTGAAGTCGTCATAAATTTGTGAAAATTTCAATCCCACAGGAGTCATGGGTCCCAGGTTTTGGACACATTCTGTCATTTAGCTCAGTGGCCCCCAACTTTTCAGCACCAGGGACTGGTTCCATGGAGAGAGATTTTTCTGCGAACTGGAGGGAGCATAGCTTCGGATGCTGCCTGAATCCCATGGATGGGGCTTTACTTGTTTGTGTGGCCTGCTTACTGTTATGCCATGGACCTGTGCCAGTCCATGGACTAGGGATTGTGGACCCTGACTTAACTCATTTGAGGTTGGTTCAAAAATTGTTGCCCTACGATGCACCATTTCACCCAATTAGGGGCCTGAGAGTTTTACTATATAGTATATAGATTTTTAAAGGCTTTCAATATGAGATTATGATTTCTTCTAATAACTATACTTTGTTTCCATTATCTTTAAATAACTTGTTAACATAACATCTTGCTATTTCTTTATAAATATGATGGAACTTTCTCATGGATGAAGCTACTTTATGGTTTTCAGCAATTACTGTATGTCACTGAATAAATTAATAGTGAATAGCGGTAATTTAAATAAAAAGTACTACATTGCATGATCATTCTTGTTATTTCGGATAACTATATACATTTACAAAAATAAACTTGCAATATAAATAGATCTGAGCATAAATTTGTATTTTCTAAAGGATATGGTAGAAAACATGAAACAAGTCCTATCTTTCACTTTCTCAAATGCAGATTTCATTATTGAGGTAATGGTTATTTATCATAACTAATTACATTAAACTGAATCTAAGTTTATAGATACTTAATTTACAGAGAATATGTTATAAAGCACTACCAACAGCAAAAGATAGCTTTTTCTGATCATTCAGAAATAATCATGTTCATATCAAAACAAGGAAGAATAAAACAATCTGTTTGGTCAAATGTCATTCACAGATTAGAAGTAAAACTTCCCACATAATATTTACACTCATTATATTATTTTCTGGGTAGCAATCTATATGATCAAGAGTTGTTCCTGTTCTGGTAGTCATCTGGATTTCTACAGCCCACGTACGGTAAACATTTCACCTCACCCCATTCCTAAGAGGCCTGTAAGGGGCGAGCATGTGCACCATTGTGCCTACCATCCCTGTATTATTGTCCCCATTTATTTGTACCTATTTCCTGTATTCTTACTCATGTTTATACTTCTGCCTATTCTCTTGTAAGCGACTGACAAATCAAATAAATAAATAAAAAATAATAAAATAAACAATGCCTCCTCAACTTACAACAGTTCACTTAATGGCCATTTGAAGTTACAATGGCACTGAAAGAAGTGAGTTATAACCATTTTTCACACTCACAACAGCAGCATCCCCATCCTCACGTGTTCAAAATTCAGACATTTGGCAACTGACTCATATCTGTGACCATTGTAGTGTCCTGAGGTCACGTGATCACCTTTTGTGACTTTCTGACAAGCAAATTCAACGGGGAAGCCAGGTTCATTTAACCATGTTACTAACTTAATAACTGCAATGAATCATTTAACGATTTGGCAAGAAAGATCGTAAAATGGGGCAAAATTCACTTAACAAATATCTCTCTTAGTAGTAGAAATTTTGGACTCAATTGTGGTCACAAGGACTATCTATATTTTTGCTCTCACTAATCCCTAAAACAAGTAGTAGTGGCTTAACATAAGTGATTTTTTTAAAAATAAAATAAAGTGATTAATGCCATTCTGACTATATATTTAATCCAAATATCCATGCAATGGCAATCAGCATCCTGAAGGTAAATGGTCTCAAGAGATAAAAGAACTAATTGTCTTATTAATTAAAAGAAAGAGGAAAAAAGAGGAATGAGAAAGGGGAGCAGTCACACAATTAAAGTGTTCAAGTCTATCTGATTCTGACAGTTTTTCTTTTTAAACCACCCCTCCCATTGCATTTTGCTTTCCAAAGTGTATTATTTCCCAATCTATTTCTTCATGAGAAGATCTTTCTTTCTGGGTGGAATGCTTCATTTCAGAGCTATTGCTAGACTCAAGCGGAACAAAGGGATCTAATTAAGTCTAACAGCAGTTTTAAAAGGCTGCCCCTTCAAAACAAAAAAATATATCTGTGGCAAATATTTTCTCTTTGCACACACAAAAGTTACAAATGACTATCTTGCAATCGCAGTGAGAGTAAAAGAAAGGATAGCTGTTCCTTCAGACTAAAATATTTCTGGGAGTTCCTTTTTTGAAAACACTTAACTAGTGACTGGAACAACACTGTTTTTCCCCCTAATATTTCATGATTAGATGTTTCTTGAATGTTTATTTTCCTGAAGTCAGTGATTATTCCTTGCAGGGTTACTTGTTTGCATCCTGTGACTTAAACAGTGTAGTAAACTTCTTTAACGATCATTTCGCATTATCCTTTGTATTCTTGTTTTCTTCTTTTAAAAGTTTAATAACATCCCACTAATTTTGATCATATGAAGAACACTTGAGGAACAGTTGCAGGAACTGGGTATCAGAGGTGTTATTCAGCAGGTTCTGACCAGTTCTGGAGAACTGGTAGCGGAAATTTTGAGTAGTTCAGAGAACTGGCAAATACCACCTCTGACTGGAGATTTTACAAGTATCCTTCCTCTGCCACACCCACCAAGACACGTCTACAGAACCGGTAGTAAACAAAATTGAATCCCACCACTGCTGGGTATGTCTATTCTAAAGAAGAGAAGGACTAGAGGATGGCATGATAGCAGTCTTCCAATATCTAAGCAGCTGTCACAAAGAAGAGAGAGTCAATCTATTCCCCAAAGCACCTGAAGGCAGGAGAAGAAGTAATGGATGGAGACTTATCAAGGAGACATCCAAACTAGAACTAAGGAGAAATTTCTTGACAGCAATTAATCAGTGGAATGGCTTGCCCCCAGAGGTTGTGGGTGCTTCAACACTGGAGATTATAAAGAACAGATTAGACAGCCATTTGTCTGAAATGGTATAGGATATAGGATCACCTGCTTAAGCAGGTGGGTTGGACCAGAAGATTTAGAAGGTTCTTTCCAAATCTGCTATTTCTGTTATTCTGATCTCACTTGAGGCAAACTATATAGAAGTTTCAAAAGCTTCCCAGATATACTCTTTTTAATGGCACTTTATTTTCTGTACTGATATGTACAGAGAGATGTCTCTACTTCCCCTTTCCCATTCAAACAACCTATGGCTGAGGAAACTACACAGAAAATCTTGTTCGTTTGTTTCTTTGTTTTGCTCCCTAATAATCTGCTCCAAGGACACTCAACAAATGCAGAATATGGAAAAGCTGCTGTAATATTTAAGAGGCAGGAACCTTCTACCAACTCTGCGTGAATCTGGAAATTAGAAACAACAACATTGGAACATTTTGGAATGAAGCTGCTATTTTTTGGTGTTGAAGGCTGAGAAAATGTATTTATGTCTCTTACCACTTTGTACAAAGATGGTTAAAACCCTAAAAAAAAAAAAAGGAAGGAATCTCTCCCCCCACTCATATTCAGGATATCCATATCCTTATTATCAAGAATGAAATCCTGAGGACAAGGACTGGGATCTCTCCTTTTTTTGTGAAAATTAAAAAAAGTAATTTATTAGACCTTATAATTCCTATTTCTATTATCATTTATATGTTGAGAATAAATTTCAGTGTATAATCGATTGATGGGGACATTTTCTACTTGTTGTGGTTGTGCATATTTGTTTCTAATGAAGTTCTTCACAAACAATACATTTTGTGTAGCTATGAGATCCGTCACTTTTTGGCCATTCCATGAGAGACATAATAAAATACTAGAATACCATCTCAGGATCCCTGCTTGGCTGCCAGCAATTACTCTCCCATATGTGCCATTTGCTAATGCTTTCTGCTACATCTTAACAAGGCAATGAACCTCAAATCCATTTACTAGTTAGAGGCATTGACATTAAAAAGAAACCCATTACTTCATGATGAGAATGTTGATTCTATTCAGCAAAGGTCACTTTGTGAATGTGTACATAAATGTCCATCAAAAGTCATAAGCCCATACTGTTATGGATCTCTTTGACAATAGAAATGCTTCTTGATTGGAAACATACAGTAAGGATCACATTAAATCTGCTGATGGTTGGCAATCTTGACTATCTGAAAATTTTACTAACACTGTATTAGCAGTAATACCAGTCTGAAGTCAGACAGTAAGGAAACTTTATTTGCCTTTTAATATAAAGTGAGGGTAATAATTGAGACAGGAGTTGAAAGAGAGGCTGTGAGTCTTTATAGAACGCTGAAGAGATCAAAGGAGATGCTGTTTAAAATAGCTTTGTTGGAGCATTGCCTTCAATATTTGTGAACCTAGAGCCACATGTTCCTGTGAAATGGCCTCAGCCCTTTGGAACATTTTGGCCCTTCACGTGAAATTGGATCCCACCCTCCTGACCT